GTGGGGTAGCCCCACACTCTTGGATATGTGACTTGAACTTCCCTCTGGAGGTTAAGAATTGGTGTGACATTGGCTGTCCTACTACAGAGTGGTACCTTCTAGGAAACCCGAGGAAGACCAAGGATAGAGTGAGCTGTTTGCAGCAGCAAAAACAAGGCTAGACATCAGGCAGCACAGCAGGCTCCTGTCTGTCATGTCTGAGCTAAGTATTCGTATTTCCTGCTTCTTCTCTTAGACTTCTCTAACGCGTTGCCAGGTCCTGCTCCCAGCTGTTAGTTCCCAGAGCTCCTCTTGTTCCTCCAGGCCTGGTGATCCTAATTCTTTGTCCCTCTTCAGCCCTATAGACTACAGCCCTTCCCAAATTCAAAGAACAGCTGAAGCCCCACCCCTGCTGGTGACATCACTATTTCCAATAGCAACCAAGGATTTTGCAGGCTCCACTGTAAATGCTTCCTAGGGGACAAAGCAGGTGGTCTCCACACCTAAGTGCTGAGCAGTGCAGGGGGGAATCCTGGACCATCAGGTTCCTCTTGCTAAAACTGTCTTCCTGGAGCAGATGACAGGCAGGCTGGTGGCATTGTCTGAGCACCCCTGTCTTGACCCCCTTTCTTCTCTCTGCCACCTGGAGGTTACATGCCTGCATACTATGTTCTGGCATTGAGGAACACAGGGGAAAGAGCTCCAGCCTCAGGGCCCTGGTGCTGCAACAGTTTTCAGGAGGCCTAGAACTGACACCATCTGCAGATGAGTTGGAGCCACCTCCAGATGTCTATTGCTTCTGGCAAGTCAGGTCCTGGAGACTGTGTAGAGAGTTCCTCCATGACTGGGCAGGAGCCTCCAGTCCACCCCATGCCCCTAGGGGGGCTGGACACTGCTTCTACAGGCACCGTAGAGCTTACTGCTGAATATTCAGAGATCAGGAAGCTATTCTTTCCAACCAGGAATCTGAAATTGACCATGGTAGAGTTACTTATTTATACCATAGAAGACTGACAAGCAATGGGGCTTCCCTCCCCACTTTCTAAGAGCCCATTTCCCAGCATACAACTGCCCCTCTCACTCAGGCTGTGGGTCCTCAATATTTTGGTCTAAACTCCTTGGGAAGGTCCCAATAGTGAGGACAAGGAGGAGGCCTACCTCACCCTTTGTTTCTTGATTCTTCCAAGGACAGGGAGAGGCCCTATCACTTATAGACCTTTGGGGGAAGGACATTGGTGCCCCCCTCCAGACAGGGCCCAGTAATGTAGGACAGAGTTGGGCACATCTGTAATCTCAGCACGCTAGGAGACCGAGACAGGATTGCCTGGAGTTCAAGACCAGCTTGTGCTACATAGTAAGTAT